AACACAAACTTTCGAATCAAACACCCCAAACAAACAAACAAAAAAATCAAACACCTGTGAGGAACGTGATCCGAAGAAGGCTGAACACGCTCGAGAGATACAATTTGTCCTCCGAAGTCGGCCTTAAACTTGTTCACAGCGCGAACCAAGTCCGAAGCAGGTCTCTACACGAAGCATCCACCACACATTAACATTGCACACAACATGTTCGATCAAATACGAGAGAGAGAGAGAGAGATAGATAGAGAGGTTGTTTCACTGACCTTGTAAACGCACTCGGAGAGGACCATGCAGCAGAGGATGTCCTGGAGGTCGGAGACAGAGTCGGCCTTGACGGCGCCGCGGAGATCGTGGAGCTGCTTGCGGCGGCGCTCGTACTCCTGGTGGATCCTCCGGCGATGTTCACGGTAGCCGTCGCCGCCGACCCACGGCCACTTCATCCTCCACTGCAGTGGGCCCCACGACACCTTCAGGAGCTTGGCTCTCTGCTCCTTGATCCATGCCTCCACTCGGCTCTGTATCGTCTCCATTTGCGATATCGCGCTCTTTTGCTCGTTCGTCATAAAACGACGAAGATCACGAGGCGGTTTATTTTATTTATTTATTTATTTTTATCACTCCAAAAATTTAAACGGAGATTTGGGAAAATAGAGTATTGGAGGGAGAGAATCGTGTCCGGTCTGTAAAGGCATATGCTATGGAATCCGACACGTACGATTTTCTATTTTCTTTCTTTTCTTTTTATTTTTTATTGAGTGCTGCTAAACGAACCCTAAAATTAACTGAGTACACCCTACTATCAAAATATTTATTGAATTACTAATTTACCCTAATATAAAATGACCACAAAAGATATATTGAATTGCAAAACAAATATAATTTTAATAAGTACACCCTACTCACCATATTCAACCCTAATGAAAGGCCTAAGCAAGAAAAATGCTTCCTTGATCCCAACCATTATGAGACTTGTTAGGGTACTGAGGAAGCGAAAGAACCATGTTGGGAAACCTGTGGAGAATGAAATAGGCTTCTGACCTCAGAAAAAGCAAGAGCATACCCAAGGAAGTTTGGGTGAATGAGGGGTTGTCGATATGGGCTTTCTTCTAGGAGGGATGACTGTGAGCTTCTTGATGAATAGATTGTTTACATCAGGGAAATTTATTAAAGATGAATAAGATTGTTTACATCACTACCCATACTGGACCTGCTTGATCCCATACCTAATTACCACCCATCCTAGAAACATAGGCTGCCACCTCATGTGCAGCTCTATTGCAGTGTCGTGTGTGAAAGAAAAGCCAATTAAATTGTTGAACTAAAACATGAATATCAAATAGAGTGTTGTGTGATAGAGTTTATTAGGGTGTACCAAGGGTATTTTGGTAGTAAAGTAAGGTGTACTTAGTTAATTTTATATTTTAATTAAAATATTAGGGTGTATTTAGATCATAGGGTGTACTCAGTTAATTTTAGGGTTCGTTTAGCAGCACTCTTAATTTTCATTATTTCATTATTTCATAAAGTGGTCTCTCTTTCGAATAAAGGAAAGTTTAAAAATTAAATATGTTTTATTCTTTAATCTTTAGTCTTTAGATTACTCTTCTCACAAGATTAGCACACATTCTCCAAAACAAGTATTGTTTTTCACAATATTAGCACATTCTAAAAGTCTTGTTGCGAGAGATTATAGAATATTACAATAGTATAGTCATGTAATACATATTATATATGTGTTATAATATGAGTGGACGACATGACTTATTTTCCACTCTTTTAGAAAATAGTATTAATAAATATTCACTTATATTATAACATGTGACTGTATTACCATAGTATTTTATAATCACCCTATTGTTGCCCGTTCTCCTAATCAAATGTTGTGAGCTATATTTATTACCTGGGGAAAATTTTATCACAAAGTTTTCTGATTTTTTAAATTAATATTTCCAAAACGAGCAAGAGTTGACAATCTTTAGTAAACCACTTGAACTCATAAAATACACTGATTAGCAAACCACCATTTGTATCTCTAAATGGAAGAAGCAAAATTAGCAAATGTTTAGTTAATTTTTTTCATGGAAAATTATCTTAATATACTTTCCTTTTCTTGCAAAACCTTCGTTTAGATATAATTAATATTTTGGTTGAGTTTTGGATACCCCTTTTTTGTTGGAATTGAGTTTTGGATAAGTAGGTAGGTAGGCCATAGCCCACGCAATTTAACTGGGCTGGATTTAATGGGCTGCTCTTTCGGTAATGTTGCTTCCAAAAGTTGGCTGAAATGTTTGACAATTTTTAACAAAAATACTAGAAATCAATTCATATGTGATCGAAATGTGGTTGGTAATGAACGAGCTAATGTACATACTAGAAAATTTCGAGTAGCATGTTGAGCGGCAAATACTGTCTAATTAAAATCTAGCACGTGTAATGTAATAAGTTTAACTTACAATTAAGATTTTGCAATACATGACATATTTTAACTGAACGAGACACGTCATTTAATCTTGTCGCATTGCATGTTGATCCCCATTTAAGTTTTTCTCGTTACACAAATATGGCACGAACCACCTCCTCCAATGCTCAAATAGAAACCCTTTTTTCTTTTCCTCCTTTTGTACCTCTTAGCTATTATTCCTCCTAATAGTCGATTTGATAGTTGCTGACAAAATCCTTTTAGGTACGAGCTTTTATTTTATGGGTTCCAAAAACACTTATTTATACTGACGTGTATGTCAATTTTTCTCTATCTTTCTTCTTTTGTGAGGTCGGTAAAGTCAATTTTTCTCTAACTTTTTTCTTTTGTGAGTTATCGACTGTATAAAAGAAAGACAAAAAAGAAAGGAGGTGACACCAAGTTTTTGTGGAAGTTAAGGGAATTGAGTTTGACATCATTGCATGCGCTAGCTTTGTCTTTGTGGCACAAACACACCCAGAAGTCGTAATATCTAAGATAGAAGCTCCACCAAGCAATTTGCAAAGGGACCATTTTTATACTCTAATTCAATATTTTGTTAATTATAATTAGTAATTTATCCTGAGATCTAAATTTTTATTTTATTTTTCCTATTTGAACAAGGTTTATTATTTCTTTTATATAATCATCATCGCATCACTATGACATGGCCCCATGCAAAATTAGTATTGATTATTTTTAATAATTTGTCAGATTTGAATGTTAGGTCGTTGTCAGTCCAAATAAATCAAGGATCCGAATGAAACTAGAAAACTATGGAAGAATCTGAATGAAAGCGAAAAACGAGCTCCACAAATTAAATTTACTCACATGCTCCACTTAACTGCATGTGTACTTAATTACAGTCTAAGTTAACTCTGCTTTATTTTATTTTATTTTTTATTATTAGGGAATTTTCATAAGATCGTTTTCTTGTGCACCTGCTCATTGACTCATTGTAAAGGTTAAGAGATGGAAGTCGTCGTTTTACGTGTGGGTCACTGGTCATCATCAAACATTGCTTTTAAAAAAAGCAGACGGAAAGCACTTTCGCGTCATGGTTGCTTTATCAACCACAGTTCCACGCTGCGATTCCTAAAATAAATCACACCTACCTTTCACCCTTGCTTGTGGATCTTCAATTCAATGTTAACTGCCCATCTAGAACCCACAACAACAATGGTCTTTCTTCTACACTTTTCTTTTACTTTTTCTTTTTCAATTAGGGTGATTGAGGGTAAAGTTTTTATTTTTTTTATTTTTTACAAAATAATATTCTAAATCAACTTTAAGCCAATTATCTTGATTTACATCATCAAGAAGCAAGCGCACTTTTTATTTTTTTTATTTTTTTCAAAACGATAGTCTAAATCAAGTTTAATGTACAGGGAAAGAGATTGAACTCATGTGAAGGGTTTAGGTATACTGCCTTGGCCAATTATCTTGACTTACATCATCAAGAAGCAAGCGCACTTCATTGGTCAACTGGTCTAACCCACATCTACAATGACGGGTTAGATTTAATGATTGCTTGCGTAGATTTTAATCCCTTAAACCGATTTAAATCTGTTTAAGCCAATTATCTTGATTTACATCATCAAGAAGCAAGCGCACTTCATTGGCCAACTGGTCTAACCCACATCTACAATGAAGGGTTAGATTTAACGATTGCCTACGTAGATTTTAATCCCTTAAACCGATTTAAATCTGTAAAAACCTCGCAAAAGCACCTAAGAACCTTTCTCTAAACACTCTTGAAACCCTTTTTTTCAAGCCCCTTTAAAATTGAATTCTCATAATAATGTTTTGTTAGTGAGAAGCCAACTGTCCCTGCAAAAGCTAGCTAGGGCATCTCCTTCCCAAGTAATAAGGGAGAGAGAGAATGCGTGCATCACATGGGTACATACACAAAAGCTATGCATTAGTGAACAAATTAAAGCATATGATTAACAATGAAGTGTGATGAGAGCAGTGGGGACTAGTAGCAATCCATGGGGTGTGGGGGGACCACCCTAAATAAAGTCAAGTTGATAATTGATTCTAAATTGAATGTTGCTGTGGTGAATAATGCTTGAGGCCAAAATGTCACTGATGACTTTACCCCCGAGTTGTTAATTATTGTATGGAGAAATTAAATCTTGCTAATCAGCTAGTCACACATCTATAGTTTCTCGACAAGCCTGAGAAACTTCTACTAACAAATTGACAATTTAAATCATGTCTGTGTTCCCGATGGTTTTGTTTCCCCTATCAGATCAGATTAAGCAAGCACTAGAGTGATTAGTCATATAAGCATAATAAGCTGTCACATTATGGAAGTCTTTATCATAGTTTCCGAGGCTGGGTCGGATCGGAGAGAAATTTTTCAGTATGACCGTAACACGCACACACACAAAAATTGTTAAGAGAAACGATGAATGATTTTCTGGTTTCAATACACAGAAGGAGGTAATAAATTAAACAAACTGGGGAATTTAACACTCTGTATGTATATATACTAAACAAGAACCCTAAAAACAAATCAAAACCATTATACAAGCAAGAGAAAGAAGAAAAATGAGAGGGCTGGTGATATAGATAAACCTCAGAATCTCAAACCAGTGAGGTCACAAGAATATTACAAAAATCGGTATCTGCCATGGGAGGAGATCTGCTGCAGTTGGGTTTGATCTTAATATGTTAAGAGGCTGCTCAGCCTTGTCCGTTGTTGAAACCATCATATGGCTTGGTGGACTTGCTTGACCTCCTCTTCAAGACCACAACCCAAGTAATTGCTTCCAATAACAAGGCAATTGCACCCAAGGCAATAATCACAATTATGTAAGTGGATCTCCAATGCTTGGCAGGATTTAGTATGTCCAGGCCTTTGAACACATTCAGAATGCTGAGGATGAGAATGGCGTATCCGAGGGTGTGGTGGTAGATGTTCCAGTAGAACCGGTACTTGTGCTCCTTCTTCGGTCTCAAGAACAATGCAAAAATCTGCAAGATCATCCAGAGAAGAAGATTCCCATTAGAACAAAACAATCCAAAATTAAATACCACAGAAAAATATTCAGCCTCGGTTCGATTCGACAATTCTGCCTTCAGTAACTGCAAATATGGACTGATTCATACGAAATTGAATCAAGATGGCATCAAACAACAAATGTGCTAAATTCAGATGTTAATTCTTAGTTTATGTACTGCATATAATTAAAAACTGCCAGTTACCCTTTATCACAGAGCACAAAAAAAAACATTTAGCCACATCAAAGTTTGTTACTTTTGGATCATATTATTTCTTGAAGTTACTGTAGGTAAAATTGGATGGGAATTTACCTGGACAGTTGCAAGGGAGAACAGGGTAATTCCGATTTTCCGGTGAGCAGAGTATACAACCTCTTCGGACTCACTTCCGAGCTTAATTCCGGTAGCCCAGCCGGCGACCCCAATGGCATAACCAGATACCTGGCAGAATATATGAAGATAAAACCATGCTGGATCCGCAGACTGAAACGTCCTCAAGTACCTTGCTATGATGATCCCAATCGGAAACAGCAACCCCCAACTCACAGCATTCAAAATTCCATGAATCTAAAACAAACCCACAAACACAATTAAAAAAGAAATAAACTTTATCAAATTTGATCAAAACCCATCTCAAATCCAGTTCTGTTTTCCACTATTTGCACAAAATTAAAGCCAAATTTTCACCAATACCCACTTCCCCTTTACTCAAAGTCTTAACCTTTAAGCCACTGATGAAGCAAAGCAACTATATTTTCCTTCTAATTTTCCCAACTTTTGAAAATGGAAATTGAGAGGGATTTAAATTAACTCACATTCCTCTTCTTCAACCTGGAGTCTCCGGGGGTGGTTGTGGTGGTGGTGGTGCCTCCGGTCAAGTTCAGGCTCCCCTTGGCTTGGAGATTGTCTGTGTTAAAATCATGTTTCGCCGGAAACCCATTTGAAACAGAGGGCCCCACTTGCCAAACCTGGTTCACGCTCTCCATCTCCACCTTCAACTTCGCAAAGAGCCTAAAAACGCCGCCGGATGACTCGGCGCTGGTGTTCCAGACATCGAAAGCGAGCTTCGACTCGACGATATCGCTGTAGGAGCTGATGTTGAAGGTCTTGACGTCCATGGAGCCGTCGGATTTCTTGTAGGCGAGCAGGGTCTGGGCCCCCGCCATGCCGGTGCCCGTCGGATTGATGGCCCACGCGATCCAGCCGTCGGATTTGGCTGGAGTCGCGACGAAGGCGATTGAGAGAGTGGAGTTGGACGAGTTGTAGGTCCAGTGGAGGTAGGATTTGAGTGTGGGGAGGTCTAAGCACTTTGAGTAGAGATTATTGTTGGTGAAGGTTTGGGTGGTGCAGGTGAGTGAATGCGCGGGTGAGATTAGCAAAACCAGAGCGAGCGTTAGCCCCAGAAATGCCAGAGAAGAAGAAGAAGAAGAAGAAGAAGAAGCCATGGATGAATATGGAGAAGAAGATGAGTAACTGCTAAGTAGTTGATGCTGAGATGAAGAACAAAGGCTTCCCACTAATTTTTGGCGGAATTTATAGAGAGAGACAGTGAGACAGCGAGAGAAGCAAAGGGTAATTATCACCTGCGGGTGGATCTACTGAATGGATTTAAGATAAATACAATCAGCCAATCCGGATATGACGCGTGGAACAGAGTTGTTGAAAACATGTGATGGACGCGTTAAATAATAAAGAAATGGAGATTGCATGAGAGAAGGAAAACACAATTAATACAAAATAAAAAAACAGACCAGCAACAAAAATTAATGGATTATGTTTGATTAATCTTTGCTTAAATTCCGTAAACTTGCCCACTTTCATGCAACGTGCATTTAATTTGGAGATCTTTTATGTAAAGATAATACAGTAAATTTGGGGAAAATAAAAAATCCCAAAAATGAGAAATTGCAAATTTCCAATCCATTTTGGCACGGTTGGATTTATTATTAGTAAAGAATCTGGCTGATTATAATTGTAGATTTTGGAATTATATGCCAACCAAAGTGATTTTTGGCCTACCAGATGTGACTGGGATGAGATGATGCAAGGCTTGTGTCATGGTGACGTCATTATTCTTGTGTGTATGTATGTATAGGAAAATAAAATTGTGACATATTTTTTTCCCATACAAATTGTTCAAGTGGCGATGAATAAGTTAGCAAATCAAGGTTATTAGGAAGTATTAGTTCGAGTCTAAGCATCCGTATAGTGCGTGTGAGTTTAGTATGTGTTGAAAAGATTAAGGATTACTTATACGTTGTTATTGAATCATGTGCAATGCTTAAAACGAATGTATGCCTATGTATACCGCTAAACCAAGAAAAAACCAATATGAACATATCCAAGACAACAAACAGCCCAACCAAAAACGACAGCTAACGAAAATGAGGAAACAAACACCTACAAAAACAAAACCAGTAAAAGCAAAACAAAAAAAACAAAAAAAGCGAGGAAGAAGACGAAGCTTGATGCCCTTGAGGTTGTTCCATTATGAGTCGATTATGTAGGGTTCATAGTAAAAGATACTTTCGAGCCTTGTAACGACGAAAAGTCTCGTGCAAATTGCAAATGGATTTATATTTTCTTTTTTTTATGAAGAGAGGCCAGAAGAAGAAAAATAAAAACACAAAAATGAGTGTTTAAAAGCAAACGCGTGAAAAAGGAACAAAAGAAAGTGTCGTTTTGGTGCGTTCCAATTATTATGCAAGAGGGCAAACACTACTAGCTACCCAACTTCTAACTATAAGTTTATCTGGGTAGGGTACGTGTGGAGGACACAAAACCAAAGGCAGTGGTTGACACCCGATAAATTTGTATTTTATTTTTGACCTATTTAACTCCTGCCTAATTAAATACAAACTAGTCTCTTTGCACGGCCCTACGAGAGGTTTTTTTAGAAAAAAATTAAAATTATTTTAGAATTAAAAAAGATAATGGGTAGTTGTATTCCATAAAAATAGGATCCATTATCTGATATTTCTTTTAATTTTAATTTTTTTTAATATGAGAAAGTGTGAATTTACCTTATTATTCTCATTTAATTAATAATTTTAATTATTAATGTTTGCATTAATTAAGGGCATTTTTTGGTATTTTGAATGTTTCATCATTCTGACTTTTGCTTTATATATATAGATTTTACTAGTGCGAGTTGCCCACACGTCATATTCGAAACTTAACTATTGATGTTAGTTTACACGTCTTAATGGTTAGAAATCGCTTTTAATATGACGGTCATGTGAATATATTGTCAATAGAAAAATCACTAATTTTCACAATAAATATGAAAATTTAGACGTGACAAGCATTTCCTTTTAACGTTCACTTTCTAATTTAATTGACATTTTTTGTTTGTGAATTGTCACCATCTTTATTTTTTTTTTACTTTTATATAAAGAGTCAAGCTACGATGGGCCGCTAAAATTGCTCAAGTAATAATTTTGAAATTAAATTAATTGCACATGCATTTCCCCCCTCATCGATCCAAGATGCAGATGAAAAGAGGAGATAATAATTAAATCAATTGGGAATTTATAAATATCATGGAATATATATTCCACCTAAACGTGCTGAAACCTCCATCTCTCACTTTGATACAATCAATCACAATATTAAGAAAGAATAAAAACCCGAAATACTAAATTTAGAAAGCAATGAGAGCTCCAAGAACCAAAACCGAAACAGACAACAAACCCATGTTTCCTCCGCTCCCAATCCTCAAAGCTCCGCCACCACCACCACCAGTGCTGTTGGTGGTGGAATTGGCCATCAAGTACAAGGTGCTAAACGACTGGAGATTGGGTGGGGCGAAGTCATGCTTCACCGGGAAACCGGAGGTCTTGTTGAAGGCGGAGCCCACCTGCCAGACCTGGTTCACGGACGCTGCGTCTTTTGGGACCTTGACGGCGGCGAATATCGTGAACGTGCCTTTGGAGAACTCGGCGCTGACGTCCCATACGTCGAACGCGAGTTTTCCCGGTACAATGGAGCTGTACGAGATGATGTTGAATGTTTTGACGACTGGGGCTCCATCCTCGGTTTTGTAGGCCAGGAGGGTTTGGGCCCCAGCCATCTTGGTGGCCGTGGGGTTGATGGCCCATGCGACCCAGCCGTCAGATTTGGACGGCGTCGCCACGAAGGCGATGGAGAGAGAGGAGTTGGAGGCATTGTAGGTCCAGTGGAGGTAGGAGCTGAGGACGGGGAGGTCGCTGCAGTTAGCGTAGAGCTTGTTGTTCTTGAATGTCTGTGAGCTGCAGGTGGCTGCCTGTGCGGGTAATATTACCAGAGACAGGAGGGAGATCCATGAGACTGAGACAAGAAGAAGAGGATGAAGAGAGGAAGCCATTGGAGAATATGGAGAGAGAGAAATAGAGAGATTGGCTGGAGAGAGATGTTCGGCTGAATGTAAAGGTTGTGGGAGAATTTATATTGAAAATAAATTGTTAGATGTATTCGATATATGACGTGGTATGCTGATATTGCGGATGTACAGGATAATTTCTCTATATATTGGTTTTGATTACAATTATGTTTTTACAAAGTAAATAAACCAATAATAGTTGTATATATGCAACCGATTTTCTCATATGCAACTGATCATATTATGTCACGGTCAATTAATATAGTTTTTTTTTTTTTTTTGATAACACAGGGGGAAAACCCCAAACAAACCTACACCACACGAACTAAACGAGGCCAAGAGACCCCCATCAGATCATCAACCCAAGCTGCTTCAGCCCAAAGAGGCACTGAGTCAAACCAACACACACCTAAGTCCAGATTATAGTATTAATCAAGCTCGAGTCAATTAATATAGTTGTATACAACGAGTGATGGAGAAAAATAAGTCACACGCACTAAATGAGAATTGGAAAATGATAAATTTAAAAATAAGTCAATTAATATTGTATTATTTGTTTAAAGTCAATGAAAAAAATCAATGTGTTCAAAAGATTAGGATTACTTATACATACGACCTTATTCAATCATGATTCATGTGCAATGTTCTAAAACGAAAAGTATATTATTTTTGTAATACAAATATATGCGTACGTAAATCGACATATTAAAAGATAAAAACCAATATGAATATACAAGACAACAAACTGCCCAAAAAAAAAGAGGAGGAAACAAACACCTATAGCTACAAAAACAAAACCAGTAAAAGCAAAGAAAAGAAAAAGAAGAAGAAGACGAACCTTGATGCCCTTGAGGTGAGGTCGTTCTTGTTCCACTATGTAGGGTTCATAATAAAAGATAATTTCTTTACTTCTTTCTTTTCCGGTAGATGGGTACAACCCTGTACAGATTTGTCGTCATTTTTCAAACCTTTCAACGACAAAATGCCTCGTGCAAATTGCAAATGAATTATATATTTTTGATGATGACATTGACAGCCAAGGAGAAAACAAAAAAGGAAAATTGACCCTTTATCCCTTGCTCACCTAGTTTATTCACTAAGGGCTCGTTTGGTACGCGGGATTTTCATGGACTAAACTAAATATTGGGACTGTCTTGGATTGGCTTGGCTTGGCATAAGCTGGATAAGACTTGTACTGTGTTTGGTGCACGATTGGATTAGGACTAAATTTTTTAACTTTTTAATTTTTAATTATAAAAAAAAAGGCAAGTGGATTTATTTGTTTTGTTTTTTTAACTTTTCTTCTTTCTTTCTCTGTTGTTTTTTCTTCTTCCAACCCGCGACTTCTTCAACTTCTTCTTCTCCCTCCTCTCTCCTTCTGCTCTTCTTCTCAATCTATTTATCTCTCTGCTTCTTAATTCAAAATTTTATACTCTCTCAATTTCCTATTTCACTATTTCTCTCTTCACCCTCCTCTCTCTTCAATAGCCACATGCCCAAACCCCACAATCTAAATTTGGGAATTTGCTTCTTTGAGGAGGCTTCTGCTTGGGTGGGTTCTTTGATGATGAATTGCTTGATGGTTAGCTATTGTTTTATGAGGTTCTTCTCCTAATTTCATAAAAAGAAAAAGCAATTTGAATTAATTGATTTATTTCCTCCATTTGGGTTTTGTAGAAGAGAGAGAGAGAGAGAGAGAGAGCAGCTGACATGGATGAGGGTTGGAGGCCATGGCTGTGACGAGGTGTGTGCTTAGGTGGGAGGTGATGGCTGTGTGGTGGGGTGAGAACTGATGGAAGAGATGAAGCATGAAGGCGTGGAGAGGGGAGGAAGTCGTGAGCAATGAGGAGGGGATTAATTTGTCCCCCCTTCACACACGGGTCTCACTAAGCCCAGTTAAGGAGGTGTTTTTGGTGGGCCCCAGATTATTAGTCCCATTTAAAACTAGAACCATATGACAACAAACATGGGATAATTTTTTATCCAAGCCAGTCCAAGTTAGGGAGGCATACCAAACGAGCCCTAATATCCATACTTTGGAACCCAATCACAAATGCCCTTTCTAAAAACTCCTTATTGACAGCCTATTACCCATCCTTCACTTTGTTTTTTTTTTCCTTCCCAGTCGTTGCTCTTGCTCTTGCTCTTCTTCCTTCTCCCAAACCTCACAAAATCCACCTCCACCATAGAATCCCCCCTAACTCTATCTCCTCTTAGTTATATCTTCCAACTAGGAGTTGATAGGTTGAACCCCAAATTTGGAACCGGACCCTAGCCAAGGCGCGATGTTCGGTTCATTTTTACACATGATTTTTCATGTTATTCACCAACTATTTTGAGTTAGTTCTTGACATTTTATAGCTTTTTACTTCCTTTTTGTGTTTTCTTAGATTTTACCTTGGTTGGAATGAAAATGAGCTAAAAGTGCTTTATTAGTTATAAATTTTGTTTTTGTTCATTTTCATAGGTCAACTTCTTGGCCTGGGATCAACATGCTCTGGTGCTCGGATGAGGTCATGATCTTCATGAGACTTGTTCCAATGGATGTTAACTACAACATATCCAAATTTGAGCTCCATTGGACAAGTATTGCCTATCCAACCAATCCAGCATGTTACCACAGCTCTGGAAATCCGATTTTGGCCAGCTTTTACCTCCATTGTGTCATCTTGATTATTCTTGTTACCATAACACTTGGTAACAAGAATTTACCTTAGTAGATGAGATATTTTCTGAAGCATTTGGCATCTTTGTGAGGACAAGGCTTCATCATTTGCAAGGGGACAAGAAGACAATGGGTGAAGACTTTGCATTAGAATACTAAAAGTAAA